CTTCCATTTGACTTGCTGTAACCAACTAAGGAAATCAAATTTCCCTCTCATAAAGATGCACAGCAATACCTTGCTCTGGGAAAGTCCTCCTGCACCATACAGACGGACCCAGAAACTCCCTGGGGTATCTCCACCAGCTTTCCTGCCTTTCCTGCCCAAGGTCTTCAGGGACGAAGGTCAACGTGCAGCAAGGAAGGAGACAAGACATGACAAGACCCTGGCCTGATGGAGACAGAAGTCAGCTCCCAGGGAATGAGACCCTGGAAGGGGGGCTGAACTAGGAGGACAACTGCCAAATGGTGCCTCAAACCCAGCAGAAATTTGATTGTGGGAATTAGAAGTGAGATAATGAGCCCAAATGACCAATTAAAGATGACTGGAACTGTTCTTCAGATAAAAAAAATTACACACTGGAGCTATACAGGTGATTTTCCTTTTCCTAAGGAAAGTCCATATTCAGTGCTAGAAAATATGAACTCTTTCTGTAGTTCTGGACTGAATCCCTGTGGTATTTAGGAGATTGGAGCTGGAAAAAAAAAAAACAAAAAACCAACAAACAACCTGTCTACTGCCAACTCCAGCTGTGGCACTGGCAGAGTAAACTGTCACCAGTCCCCAAAAGATGCCATCATGGATTGCTGATTCACCAAATGTCTGCATAAACCAGCTCTGCAGCATCAAGAGAGAAGGTGCAAGAAGCCTGTGGAAGGAAAACCCTCAACACATTCAGATTTTCTTTTATCAAACTCTCCGCTGAAGTATTGGAAATTATGGAGATTTTTTCGACCTAGCGATCAGGATAAACGTCCACACCATGGACAGATGAGGGCACAGCAGTGTTTGTGGTTCATATACTGTATTTTAAGGTATATGATGTTTACACTAAGTACCCAGAAGAGAGTGCAGTATTGGCCACTGCGTTGGAAACATGCAGCTAGAGTGGAAAGATGGTGTGTGAGTATCCGGTCCGTGACAGTTGCACTTGACACTCTCCAAACCCCTTCAACGCTGCAGCTTTGCAAAGAAAAGGGGGGCAGCAAGCTGTTCATAAACCACAGCTTCATTTCACACCGGAAAAGTTGTATGCTATAGTCTTGATGGTTTGGTTTTTTTTTTCCTCTGTTTGAAACAAAAGTTTGTGATTTGTGACTAAATTTTGAAATCTTCATTAAAACTTTCCATTCCTCCTTATGAAAGAGATCGTTCAAAGGTTAACAACAGGAAGAATCAGCGATGCTGAAGCAAACACGATCCAGTGTCACCCCCTGAGTTACCACGACCTGATCACTTGCAGGCATCAAGCCGCATCTGCTCATCATCAGCAACGCCGCATCAATGCTTAGCGATGGGAAGTCCTCCTTAAGCCCTACGAGGAGATACCACAGGCAACAAAACAACAGACCCAAAAGAGCACGGTCATTTTGATGCTCCTTTTGTGTCTACCAACCATCGCAGCCTAACTCCCATGTCCTCAGAGGTGTTCCCGCTGCCAGCCACACTATACTGGGAGACATCCCTGCGACGTCTGATATTACTGATACTGAGAAGCTGAAGAGTTTCTTACTGCTATGCAAAAACTACTGAGATCCTTCCACTAACAGATCAATCATATCCAAAACTCAGTACCTTCTCCAGCTCGGATGCCCCAAGCTCCCTCTCACTTCCTACGTCCTCTGTTAAATGGATGTAAGCAAGAACTGAGAAAATTAATCCTAAACTCACCTCCTGCTGAGCCCCATTCCAAAACTGTGGACCCTTGTCAGTCTGCCTCTTCCCTGGGTGGTTTTGCCTCTTCTGTCCTTGCTCCTGTCTCCTTCTGTTTAATTGTTTGGCACTCATTAAATACAGACCTAGGCTTGCCTTCGTATATAAAGATAAACCTCGGTCATAAGCAATTTAGGCTGGAGTTCACCAGCAGTAAGAGCCCTGCAACCTTAGCTACAAGTAAAATGAAACTTATTGGTAGGTTTGGGAGAAAAAATAAATTACCTTCTACAGTCTAACCAACCTGTCCTGATATCTCTTATACAATGCTCTGCAGAAGTAACTCATCTGAATTTTTTTTCCTGAGCCATATCATCTCTGTGGCACTACAACAGAAATTACTGATCAAACATGTTATTGATGATAGTGTTTCACTGATTTGACTTAGTCCTCAGTCCAACAATTACAAGTTTACTGCAAAATACCATCTAGAGGACAAGCTGCCAAACCAGAGTGTGCTAAAGTCAATTAATCTCATTAACCACCTACCCCTCCCAGTTCTGGAGTAGGTCACCAGAGTAAAACACACATATACCAATCTAAATTATTTATACAAGTGTTGATTTTGAATTAGAGCTTTTCCTGGAGGTCCTGTTGATGCCTGGAGCTTTTCATAATCAAATAATTGCCATTGCAACCGTTTTAGTTGGTTTACTGTGCAAAATAGAAACAGCTTTGGTGCTAAGCAACACCCAAACACAGAACGCATTAAAAATGGTCCCTGCCCCAGCTCATTTATTATTTAGGAGACATGAGACGGAGGCACAGGAAAGGGGTGGTTTTGTCTGGTCACACACAGACATCTCCATCTGAGTGACACATCCCTGGTGCCCTCTCTGGCCAACATAGTGCATCCATGCTGAAAAGAGATGTGCGACAGCCCTCTTGCACCTATATCACTGACAATAAGCTTTTGTCTCGCCTTAAAAGGATACATTCGTTAGCAGTTGATTGGAGGCAGCAGAAAGGAATAGGTCCCCCTGAAGCCACCTCCTGGGACTCCCCACCATTGCCCTTGCCCAGCACAATGTGCAAGCGTCAGAAGAGACAGAGGCTGGTGGTATCTGTTACATAGTGGTGAGTCACAAAGCACTTCAGCAAATAAAAGTACAAAGAGGAAAAGGAGACCTCAGAACACGACAAAGGAAATGGTGGCCTCACATGGAAACCAGCACCATCTGTGAGCCACGAGGACCAAGATCAAGGACACCTCTGCATCCAGGAGAGGAACCTCTGGGCTCTCGTTTGGCACCCAGGACTGATTCATAATAAAATCTACCATTAATCAGAGACAAGAGAGAAGTAAGATGTCCCTACTAAGAAAGGCAACAGCCCTTCCTGGATGATCCCTTAATCATATAGGTTCTCCCAGCACATCCATCACCACATCCCTGAGGACATGCCTGGGTGCTGTAGGTAAGCATCCACACTCTACGGAAGGGTGAGAACCTTGTCCTGACGAACATTCGGTCCCCCCACAAAGACCCACCCTCCTTTGCCAGCACATTCATTTCCACCCAAACCATGGAATCAGGAATCTTCCTACTTTGGTCTCAGCAGGGTTTTATTTTTGAAAACGCTTTTGAATTTCATTTGATGACACCAAGTTGTGATAGTGATGGAAGGGGAGGGGGGGGGGGCATGGCAGGGACCCCTCAGCATCTCAGAAAACGTGGAGACTCAACGGCAGTCATCTACAAGGCACACCCGTGGTTTCTTTTCCTTGCCTACGTTCCTCCATCAGCTCATGAAGAGCAGTTTATCCCATGATAAAGGGAAGATGAATTCTACCTAGGATAAGGAGAATAAACTGCCCACTGAAACCAGAAGGGGCATCAGTACACAAGTAGCATCACTTAGATGTCTCATCTGGAGATGACTGGAGAACCTTGGAAGAACCTCAAGCCTGATGTTCACATTTGCGTGATGGGATTTTAAGGCGCAGATCCTTGTGATGTTGTTTAATTGATGAAACCTGTTTTCTTTTTATTTTGCCAAAATCTGCTCTATTTCAGGCAGACATCATAAGTATCACAGCCTCATGAGAGTACGAATTTCACACATCTCAGCAGGCCTAGCGGCAGCTTTCCTCACTTACCAACCTGCTTTGATGTCCAGTGAAATAAACCCAGTTCCTCGTAACTCCGCTCTAAAGTAGCAGCCACAATAGCAACAGCATCAAAGTCAGCAGCACCTGGTTTCTGCCATACCCAGGAAAAAGGGGCTTTCTTTGCAAAGGAGAATAGAAAGACACCTCGCACAGAAAAATAACATGGGAAAGCCAGAAAGTGGCAACTGAAGAAAAAAAACAATACACCAGCCCACCGCCTCGCAGTCTGGTGAAACTGTTGCTATTGTATGTGCAAAGCTCCAGGAAGCATCACCCATACCCATGTGCAAGTGGTCACCCGGAGGCAGAAGCAAGGGCCCTCTCGGTTTTTTGCAAGGGGTTTTTTGGCAGGGCGGAAGCCCTTGTGGTCAGAGAACAAAACCACAAGATGTTAAAAAAAAAAAAAAAAAAAAAAAAAAAAAGCATACTCCTGGGGTATGGGGCTTTCTTGGTGGGTTTCGGATCACAGACCACCTGCCTTGCACAAAGCGGCTTTTGCAGAGCAATTGCAAAGGAGAATTGCAAAAAGAACGCTCGAGCACCTGAAGAACTCAGCTGCACATCAGCAATGCACGTGCTTGGAGATTAAAAAAAAAATACATGGCTACATGCCATGAAACACCCTTGTCTTATTTGCTGGGTAATAAAATGCGGCATGCTCTGCCATCCGCATGAGACTGCTTGAGCGCACGCAAGCGAAGGCAGCAGAATCCCTGCCAAGAAATGCAACCTGGGGCCTGCAGCCAACGCCCGGGGCTTGTCCGGGACTTCTGTGGAGCTGGAGCTGCTGTGAACCCCCGGATGGTGGCTGTGGTGACCAATCCTACCTCAGGCACGAGCATCACCAGTCTGAACCTCTGCGGGAGTCATTGAAGCAAAATCCTAGAGGCACCATTAAGAACCAATAATGATAAATGAGCCCAAATTCTGCATTAGAACCAAATGTTTTCAGAAATCTGTTTTTTTCCTTCATTTTGCCGCAGACGCTGAACGCCATCTCTTTACCCAAGAGGGTCCTGATGACATCACATCCTCCCCAAAGAGCGACGCAGCCTCCCAAGGCAAGCGAGAAAGATCATCTCTGCTCCGCTGCCCCGTCCCTGAGGACGGCCACCCCTGGGAGAAGATGGCCGGGTCTCCTGCGCTGCTCCTTCTGCTGGCTCTTGGGCTCTGTGAGTACAGACACGGGGTTGTGCATCAGCTCTGCTAGGAGGGGAGAGTAAACCCCTTTCACTGAATCAAAAAAAAAAAAAGGGTTAAATAGTTAAAGGGAAATAAAAAGCAACCCAAAAAGGCTGACTTTGACTTTTGCTCAGTAATTGTAGATCTGAAGGTGGCATCACCACAGCCAACAGCCAGGGTGGCTGCAGCATCACATGCACTGGGAAGGGAGCACAGCTGGAGAAGTGTTTCTGGAGGGGAGAGGAAAAAAAAGGGGGTTTAGCCATCAGTGTTTTTAGGGAGTCGCTTCAATTCAGGTGGGAAGGGGTACTGTCCCCGGGAAGGCAGCTGAAAGTCTCTTCTGAAGGGCAGCACCCATCTTTAAAGCCCAGGTGGGTGATGGCTGAGCCCAGCAAGGACTCCAGTAAAACCTTCAAGTCAGCCGGACAGAGTGGTTCTCCCTTTGTTTGACCTCACACCCCACAGACAGGGAACAGTTCTTCCCAAGTGGTTCCCACCAGGATTTCTCTCCTGCAGGCTGCCCTGGGATCTGGAGCCAGACGTACAGGATGGTGGCCAAGTTCCGTGACAGCAGCATCACACACCCTCGGGTGGGACAGCGGCTGGAGCTGGAGTGCGTGTCCACCAAGGAGGACAGCGGCGTATTCTGGGTCCGCCTGGACAAGGCTGGGATCCTTCACTTCATTGTCTTCATTTCCCACCTGGCCCGGGTCACCTTTGAGGGGAATGAGAAGACATCCGTACGTTTCGATGCAACAAAAGACAATAGGTTCTACCGGCTGGTAGTGAAATCTTTCTCACTGCGGGATGAGGGGCACTATTTCTGCCTCATGAACATGAACCAAATGCTCTACTTCAGCCCTGGCCAGCCTGCCTTCTTCCCAGGTCAGCAACATCTCCACCCAACCTTGCTTAGCTCTGCCAAAATGTCCAGCACCCCCTGCCCACACCTTTTTTAATCAGCCACCTCTCCCACAAACCCCATTTCCCTGCTTGCTTGCCCAAGGCATCTCGTGACTAGCACACCCACTTCTTCTCGTGGCATCACCCTGGCTCAAAGGCAAAGATGACCAGGCAGACCAAGCTTCACCTCCCCATCCCCACTTCTCCATCCCATTCTGGCTCTGAAGGGATAAGACTAAAGCAGAGTCCACCACTACTCTCTCCTTCCTCACCTCACATAGGTCCCAAAAGTCCTACTCAGGGTACTGGGGCTTTCTGGGGGTGGTGGCAGAAAGCAAGAAATAAGGAGCCTGCAGCTCCTCCTTGGGTCTTGGGACACCCTCTTTGGGGAAGTCACCATCCAAACGTTTCTGTGAAGTTCCCTGGAGCTGAGCCCTATGCTGGTCGCAGGAGGAGCCGGGCCCCAGCAGTGGTGGGAGAGAGCTGTTTTACTGCATTTCCCCACGTGCTGTATTCATCCATTTTCATTTATAGTCGTCACCACCACGGCAGCAACCACCTCCCCAGCACCCACCACCGAGCATGGCATCACGGAAAAGGATCCCTGCCCGAAGACCCCAGCTCCAGGTACCCCAGCTGCAGGGAGGGAGATGGGAAGAGCTGGGCTCTGGGCTGCTGCCGAGGGAGATCCTGCAGGCGTTTTGGGACGGGGGAGAGTGAAAACCCTTAGAGCTTTATCAGAGCTGGATAGCTGGATACGTGCAGCTGGAAGGATTAAACTCCCATGTTTCATGCCATGCAGGAAAGGCTATGGATGATCTAAAAGGATCATCCTTATGATGGCTCATGCCTGGGCACATGGGGAAGAGGTGGAGGGAAGAGAGAGACTTGGGGGCTGGGGCTGGTTTTGGCCTCAGCAAGACACATGGGAAAACTTGGCTCCACGTCCTCCCTGAAGTCCTTAGGAAAACGCTGAGAGCAGCAACACTAACGAAGGTCTGTGCTGCACTTGCGGACATCACTGGTGGGGCAGGTGAAGCCCTCTGCTCCACCGCCAGCCTCACAGAACACCCCTTGACTCCACCAGAACTGGCCCTAACACCAGCTGTGAGCACATGGGGGACCCTTCCTCTTCTCTATTCCTGCAGAGACCAGCAAGGAGAAACAACTAGATGTCTTCTGCGACATCTTCATCTGGGTTCCCTTGGCAGGCGCCTGCCTCCTGCTTGTCATCGCCTTGGCGGTCACCATTGTCCTGTGTAAACGTAAGATGCACCCCTAACCCCCTGTAGATACTCCTCTAGCCTGAAACTTCAGCCCTGTCCTTCAGGGGAACAGATCTTCTAGCAATCCCCTTTACACAGACATCAGAGAACCAGGACACAGCCAACGCAAGAGAAGAACCACTGTTAAAATCAATGTCTGTATTTTCCCCCATCAGTAGGTTTAGGCTGAGAAATAATTATCAACTCCTACACTACAAGGAAGAAAACTAATTATAAATAGAGAGAACTTTATCAAACTGCATTGGCTCTACCATCCTTAAATCGGCACATCAGAAGGTGAAAGTACCAGAACCTGAAATATTTTTACAAAACAGGGTAAACATGCTTCTGCATGGAGCTTGCAAATGCAAATGCTGAGACTCCCACTAGCAGCTTGAGCTGTAACCAAATGAGCAACTTAATTACACAGGTTCGGAGTCCGCTAGGGTTAAAACAGTAACGCAAAATCTCTGGGTAGGCAAAAGTGCTTTGGTGACATTTCATGTTTGAAATGACTGTAAATTACCCTGAGCAAGCACTGAGTGCAAATATATTTAAATCAATTTAACGCTCACTGAAATCAGTTTAGCTTTCTGATACCCCAAGAAGTTACACCAATTTCATTAAACTGGCTCAGCTCATCTGCCTGGAGCACCAGAATGTTTTGCTGATGAATTAACGTAACTAGATCCTCACTGACCCTGCAGCCTGGAGCTGAGGTGAGATTAATTTACCAGCTGGCCCAGTTAAAAAAAAAAAAAAAAAAAAAAAAAAAGAGTACAATTTTTCAGCATCCTTCAGCCCTGAAAAATACTAATCACCCCAGTCTGCAGCAATAGGAAGAAATACGTGAAAAAACTTTGACCAGCCACAGCCAAAAATCATTCTTCTCAAGGGAAAAAGCAGATGGATGATGCTGCAGAGCCCCCTGAGTTGGTCCAAATTCCCTCTGAAGTCACCAGGGGTCCTCCACGTGCAGTAGGATTCCCCAGGGACCTGCAACATCTTTAACCTACAAATGCCACTTGATTTCTTTCTGCTTTTTAATGCTGATGTGAATTATCAGTCAAAAGCCATCAGCTGCAATTAACTTCTGCAGCAGGCAGCCCAAGCCCTCAAGGACAGGTTTTTACCTTGTGCTAAAATTAATGGCTGGACATTGTACTTCGCCGAATACATCCCAAAGTAACGATGTAGATGCTAAAATGGGGAAGAGCATCGTTCAGCTCGGTGGCATGCTGTGCGGCACCATTGCCACTCACCTGCTGTGAAATCAATTCCTGCCAAACACACTGAAGTCGCTTGAGACAGCAAAAAAAAAAAAAAAAAAAAAATCACTATCAGCATTCCCAGGTTGACCCTGTTACTCACATGAAAATTTAATTAATGAAAATACTTCAGTGGACTGCTGGGGAAAGGTGAGGTGCAGCAGCACTCTGTTGAATGGCTTTCCTCACAAAATAAGCTTGGTTTATCGATTGTTAGCCTTAAAGATGGCAAGCTGCTAGGGAATGGCAGCCTTACCTTGCTGCAGTGTTTCTCTACTGAACTCAGACTTGGTATCTTTGAACTAAAACATTTTATTTTTTACTTCAGAAACCAGAAGACGAAGATGCAGATGTAAAAGGTAAGTGGCAGGTGTCGATATTTTTCTCTTAAACTTGGCAGTATCTCACCCTCAAGAAATAAAGCAGGCAGGTGCTAAAAAGTGATCTAAAAAATTCTTCAACTGATATACAGTGGATGGGAGGGGACCGTGTAATGAATTAAGGGCAAAAAAAGAGAGGTAAGATTCTCTTCTCCTGGGTTTGTTTTCTTAATTTTAAGTAATTCAAATCACTGAGCTCTGCCACTGCTGTAGGTACTAAGCAGAAAGACAGGAGGTGCTTGTGGCAGCCTAAAAACTTTACGCATCACCCGATGCTCATAACTAACACTGCATTTGTGTGCTCCCAGTGCACTACTCCGGCTCAAGCCCAGGGGAGAGTGTATTTCATTCCTTTCCCTCCCCAGACTGTTCTTTTGATTCAGCCCTGGACCTTCAGGTTGTGCATGTGGACTAGCTACAAGCTGCTGCACCCTGAAACCCCTTCTGCACAATTTTGGACCAACATCACCATGGCTTTATGCCTCTATTTCCCCCAAAAGGCACTAAATAACCATATCAGAGGCTCACGCAGCCTTAGACCACTTTCCTGAGAAACAGCAATGCAGACAGGGATAGCTTTAGAGTTAACTTATTTTCCAGGGCAGACAGGAATCCTTTTTTTATGCTTTCCCTCCTGCCTCCCCAACTCCCTTCTGAGTCCCAGAAAAACACTTATCAGAGTAAGAATTGCAGTTTGCAGCAAGAAATCCTTTTGCCCGAGAGTTAATGCACATTTTGCTCCTGCAAATCGACCTCCCTGCAGCCGGTTTCTTCACCTCGCTTGCTCTGCAGAAAACCATTTCAGCAGTTTTGTGAGCCTTGTGCTCTGAGTGCACCCCGGGGCTTGCGGCCAGCCAAGCTCTCCAGCACAGAAACCCCTGCTGCGGCTCCTGCCAGGCTGGCACCTGGAAAAGCTGGGCTGCAACTAAGTTTGGAATAGTGTCGTCACACCTCTAGAGCCTTATTTTTTGCAAATCAAGCATCTTTTAAATCAGATAAATTCATATTCCTTGCTATACATCAATGGGTTTCATGGTAAAAAAAGTTTTTTGGTTGTCCAAATGAATAGGATCACTCAGAAGGAAGCTCCCTCCTCCTACGTTAACAGAAAATGGATACCTACTTTTTTTTTTTTTTTTTTTTTTTTGCAGGCAGAACACATCAGAAAGCAGTGCCTGAATAATAAAAACAATTAAGAGAAGAGGCACCGAGTGGCAATGCCTTCTGCCCCTCAGGTGCAGTGTCAGAATACAGCCGCCCCTGCACACCTGCATTTTCTTTTCTTTCTTGCCTGTCTGGAAAAGGGAACAGCCTGTCAGTTTTTACAATGGATATTTATTATACCCTGTGTTCTTCTGCTCCTCGCCTAGCTTTCCAACGGCTAAACGATAACGAAGAGCTCTTCTTGCAGCTTGTTTAGGAGGATGCTTGCATTCTTCACTTATCTCAATCCCTGTTGCCAGCCCTCTGCAAAGATGTTCTGTCCCTAAGGGGAAACCCACGCTGCAGAGCTCTTCAATTTCGTACTGATGGAGCGGTTGGGTTACAAGTGCCTCAGGAAATCATCTCATCAAGAACAGCTTTCCTTCCGCAGTGCTAACATGACAGAATTCTGGTTTAAGCAATTGTAACGCATTTAAGCTTTTATTTAGAGAGGAAATTCCCGCTGCTCTGAGCGGTTCCCACTTATTGAAATGAAGCTCTTTCAAAGTTAATAGTGCAATTCACTCAATTACAGAGCGCCTCAGGATCTGGCCTGGGATTCTTGCTGGCAGCCGAAGGATTCATTTTCCACCACAAATTAATCGTCACTGAAAATGTGTGCCAAATCTCCAACTCATTAAATCAGCATAAAACTACCAGTTGCTGGAGACCAGTAATTTCTATCATTTTGGGAACACGCTGGTAGACTAGAAAGCCTCTTTTTTCACTCCTCTGCAGGAAACTGGTTTGCAACAAGAGAAAGTCCTTATGAACTGATAACAGCTTCTCTAACTCCAAAAAAAACCCAGAGCTTTTCTTCCCATTTTAGCCCCCAGCTAAGGTGTGTGCAGAAGCCAGAGGAAAATTTTTTTACACTTTTTTTTTTTTTTTTAGCATAACAATCCATTAGCAGTGTCTCTTAAGAAAACCCTGCTACCGGCTGGCACTAGTTGAATGCTGGCAGATCCTTCACCAGCACAAAGGGGATCTAGGAACATTTTGCAGCCTACTCTTCGAGGTCCCTGGCTGCAGAGCAAGGCTAAAAGAGCCGATCAGCAACCACACATGAATTGCTTTCTTCTTCCTTTTACATCAAAGTAAATCAAAACCTTTTCTCTCTCTAGACCTGTGAATGGGAAGCCCAGTGCCAAACCTAACGTGCAAAGCCAACACATGTAAGCATCTGCACCTTCTGGCTTCTGGATCGTCTTCCGGGAGCTGGCAGTGCACAAGTCCATCGCCTCGTCTATACTGCTACTACTTCTCGTGCACTCTACCTGGACAAATTTGAAAAGACAAGACGGAGCAGACACACAGCAAGCAGGCACTTTTTCTGGGAACTGCGTGCTAAAGCACAGCTCCTCCCAAAACCTGAGGTTTTCAAACCAATTCCCAAGGCCAAACACCACCTCTGTTGCCAATGATGGAGCTCTGTGGTTAAAGAAACAGCTCCATCCTGATGCTGACAAGTGTCACTGATAAGCTGATGAGAAATAAGGATATTAGCTGGACCTTTGCTCGGGGGTGGGTAATAATTCTTTCAAAATGCATCCAAAATTTGAATTTGCTACAAAATTACTTAGAAATAAATGCCCTCACTTAACACACCCTCTTTTAGTGGTGCCACGTATCTCCTAGGAGCTTTACTGTTTCACCTAATGTAACACAAAGCTGCACTGAAAAGACAGATATTGATTGAAGGGCCTGACTTTCTAGGTTTTTACAGCCCTGGGGGCCAAGGTTTACTGTTTCCCTCTTGCTATCCTTGTTAAGCTGCTCGCCCCACTTCCACCGATTTCAGCAGCAGTTTTGACTAAGGAAGGTGGGATTCTCTTTCTTTCTGGAAGAAATGGTTGAGTGGTTAAAATTAAAAAAAAAAAAAAGTCTTTGTCACTTGCTTTGGTTAAGCAGGACTTCTAGCACACTGATCTGGGACATGTTGATTAACTACATGAGTTCTGTTTTTCAGCTCTGTATTTGATGTAAATACTTCGTTACCGCAGTTACAGATCAAGAACTGAGGAAAAAAAATAAAACAACGTTTCTAATCAGACTCAATAACATTTATTTTTCTTTCTTTGGTTCCTAGCCTCAGAAAAGCTAAAAACCTTCATGGCAATAATAAATGAGGGCCTGAGGAAGTCTTAGGTAAGGAAAAGGCAGTGATTTACATACCAGCCTGAGCTTTATGATGCCAGAGTTCAGCTTTCAGTTTACCACTGCCTAAAATGATTTAAAATTGTTTTCTCAGGGACTTGCAAGATGGGCCCAAAACACTCTCCTATCCCGGGGGGGTGCTATGAAGGTGGATGAGATAAAGACTCTGGAAGTGCTCAAGGTATTCTTGCCAAGAGGCTGATAAAAACCTGGGGGGAAAAAAAAAATATGAAAGAAACTCTGCCAGGCTCCTCCTCTGCTAATGAGCTGGGAAGGAGAGGAATTCAGAGAGAAACAAACTTCTTCCAAACTTAGTTATTTGTAATACTTAATAAAAAAAAAATAGGGACTAGATAAGTGAATCTAAACAACAGCAGGCAAATACTGAATGACAACTACATGTATCTACACACATTATAAAGAAAAAAATTAACCGAAAAGCCTCAACATTGAAACGTCTGTGAATTCTCAAGACATTAAGAAACACTAAGACACATGCAACCTATTCAGGGCGACCTCGTTCAAACCCCAGGTGCTAATCTGGGGAGAAGAGAGGGTCCCACTGCACCTGCAGTGCCAGGCACAGCCCTGTCACACAGTCAGCCTCCTCACCAACCTGCAGCTGTGCTTCTACAACAACACCAAGCAGATATTGTCACAACCTGTTTCTACACAGCCTAGGTCCAGCCTTTAGCCCTATTTTAACAACTCATGGTTACCTAAAGCAGTCTGGTCTCATCCTGCAGTCAGCTCTAGGCATGCAGATGAAAAGCTCATACCTTTTCTGTCTCCTATGAGCATCATTTTATTACTAGCTTGTCCCGGAGCCTCTTGTTGAGTTTGAGCTAAAAGTTTTCACTTATAAAGCCTCAACTCACAAAGCATTTCTGTAAAGCAGTTCACAAGAGGTAGGAACATCACTACCTCCCCAGCAGCATTCCCTACAGCTCGTTCCTCATTGCTCTCAGTCATTTTATCCTGGGTTTTCATATTACACTAGAGCTTTGTCTACATCATGCCATGTTCCAGTCAGGCAATGTTCCTCCTGATCTGGTACTAACCCCCAAACTTAAATCCTCTTCCAACAGATTTTCTCCACACTTCTACAGTGACTTTCCCCTCCCAGTGCAGCTCTCTTAAATGGTTTTGTAGAAAGACGGTGAAATGATCTGATGGCCTGCATCTGTTGTTGTCTCCCCACCAAAGGGCACATATGTATGCACGGGAAGCATTTTCTCTAAAATGCATTTTCTGTAGCCCAGTAGTTGAACGTGGCATGTGACACACACCAAGATTAAACGTATAATGTTAGACATTGAACAGAAAACCTAGCAGAAGCGTTTTTCTGTATTTTACTCCCTGTAAGCTATGCCATTCTTTCAAATGAAATTATTATTTCACGATGCACATGTTAAATATTTATTGCTAGTTCTCCTGCTGTGAGAGCCTACAGAGGTCAATGCTGCAGTGAAAAACAGGATATGGGTATTTAAAATCAAAAAGCACAGGTACAACAAATTCCTCACCACAGAAACACCACGGAATCCTAATGCAGGATAAACAGAGGAAAATAATACCCTAAGCAATGTGGAATACATATATTTGGGCATGACTAACTACTGACATTAACTACTAGCAATGGTCCACCATGCAGTGCCACGGCTCACACAGCACCCCAGCATACACCCCGCTCACAATCCTCAGCACGCAGCCGGGTATCACAAACCTGATAAATACCAACCATCACGCACCTGCCTGCGGCAACTAGGATCTACTGGTGCAAGCTCTGGTTCTGCAGCTAGATGCCTTAAAAGAAGCCAAAACTGAAATTTCATCTTTGATGATACCTGGAGCCTTCATTCATAAATTCATGAACCTTGCAAGCTCCCAGCAGCTTCAGCGCTGCAGAGAAAGGACTTTTATTGCAATAGTACTGCCTACATAGCACATTCCCTCTTCAGAGAGATGTTTCACATACAAAGAAGGCTCAGTTAATGGACACATTACAAATTCTCCTGCCTGCCAACTTCTGGCCAGCGTCATCACAGCTGTAAGTTATGAGAGCATGGCGTTTTACAGGGTATAATCAAGCTATTCAAAATACATGACTGTTCACTGAACTCTACTACCAGCTTTCAGCTTCTTACTTGCTATCAGCCAGGCGTCACCTTCAATGCTTTATCTTCGTTCGTGTCTTTGCATCTCTAAAACAGAAATATTGGTGGTCTCTGATTTTGGTTCTTAAATCTGTAGATGACCAAAGGGATATATCACCCAAACTGCATATTAAGCTTGGCATATAAAGCATCAGTAGAAAAATTATCCCTCTATACCATGGTAACAGATACCATGAGTTAACACAAACCTATTAAGGAATTAATTTTAAAAGCGTATCCAACTCTCCACCTGTGGACTTTCTGTGAGATACTACAAGTACATGATCATGGACTGTTGTCCATACCCAGGGGTAAGACTTGTTTATCTGCCTCTTCTTACCTGGGCTTTTCTGTTTGTGAACCACTGTGATTTAAATATGTTTTCAAAATACACCACGTACACTGGGCTGAACTGCTGTGATCCAGTGTTTGCTACACAACCAGCAACATCACCTCCGCAGGTGGTCAGCAGGCTGAGGGAACAAGAGGAGGCAGCTTGGGGCACGCACCAGAATAAGCACTTACTCTTCTTTAGTCGTTTCATGCAGAATACCCCAAAATGAGGAAACACTTCATGGGCAGACACATCCCTCAGAAGTTTGCTTCAAACCACCTGACTGACTTCACCAAGGAGCCCCCCAGCAGAGGTGGGGATGCAGCACAGCTGAGCTTCCTTTGCCAGCTCTTCCTTCCACACAGTCCCACAACCAAGTCATCTTCCAGTTCAGGTCAGCTGTAGCCAGCACTGCATCTCAGATTTAAACCTACAGCTCCAGAAGTCCTGTGACGTTCTCCATTTGCATGTAGAGGTGAAGAACAATATTCTTTATAATCAGCTTAGTAAGATCTGAATTTTCTTTGCAAAACAACTTTTTTTTTTTTTTTTGCACACCTAGCTACCGATAGAAATCACAAACCAAACCACATCTTTTGCACCAAAACCTTAATAATTGGATGCAAATATCAATGCAGCAGTGAGACAGGAAGGAGCCAAGAGTACCTCCAGCCCTGCTGTGGAGGCGAATGACTAACACAGCATCGAGCTAGAAGGCACGTACATGCCTCTAGCAAATCAAGCAAGTTTGGAGCAAACCGGCTGAGCTCATGGTTGAGTAGCAATGACTGGGCAAGAAGCCTGGACTGCTGCTTGCACCGATAAAAAGAGGAGGAGTGGCTGAGCTGGAGCCTAGAGAAGCAGCTCAAAGGTGCTTGTTTCCCCATGCAGGGAGCTGGTGTTGGACAGGCCCTACAGATCTGACGGCTTTTTGCTAAGAGCATGGAGGACGTTCTAGGTTACATGGGAGGGGTGACTGCACTGGGTGCAGAAGCAAAGGCTGGAAGCTGTTATGGGTTAATACGAGGCAAACACAAAGCCTGAGACATAGAACGACTTTCCAAGAAGAGTGGAAGAAAGAAATGTGTTCAGAGGTGAAGGGTTACCTAATTGCAGAGTAGCTCAAAACTCTCAGAAGCTGATGGGCTAAAGGCAAACAACCTGGGAGTTAAGACTTAACAGTGGAAAGAGTAAGAGCTGATTTACTATTTAAGCACAGCCTCAAGTAATAAAGAAAAAAGGGTACAAGATGGTCACTGAAAGCCCTATGAAGAGCTGAGAGAGGATTAAATAAGCTCCAGAAGAATAATACAGCCAAAATGACCCCAGAAGAGCCAGTAACTGGACTGGTCAGTTAAAGTTAACTTCATCTGTCCAAGCCTGTATGTGACAAATGCCCTGTCACAGGGAAGGCACTAAAGCTCACCCCAGACTCCTCACACTAATGCTGTTGTACATGTCGTGCAAGTGCTTGGAAGCCACCCCACAGAAACTATACACTTGCTGTTTCTGCAGCACTCAAGACAGAGAAG